CGGGAATACGAATCGCTTCATAGGTTTTTAAAAAGGCGTAAATACGAAGCACAACGTACAATATTCAAATCGCGTGAATAAGAATCTCAACACGCAAATATGAAAAGCTATGTTTGATATTAAAATCGTGTGAATAAGAATCGAGATATTGGCAGACTCCAGGCTTGGGACCTCTAAATGGCTTGTCAGAAACAGCGTCGTTTGAACTACAAAAATCGGATCTATCTGGAGGGCGGGTAAAAAATTCGGAAAATCTTATCTGCTGCGAGTAAAAGGGGAGAAAATAGCTAAAATAAGTAAAAATGAGAAAGGATTGGTAGCTATGTAGTTTGAATTTTGTGTTTCTCTTTGAAAATGGGTGAGTTTTCTGAAAAAGCGGAATACTTATAAAAAAAAAAGTGAAATTTTTAGAAAAATCTGAATTTGATAAAAAAGCTGAAATTCAAGAGATAAAAGTGAAAAAAACGGAAATCAGCTAAAAAGCGGAAAAATCTCATCCCTGAAATAAGATAAAATGTAAAAAATAAATAAAATGTTTCTTAGGCGGCCTTGTGGTTAAAAACCAGTATGTTATTTAATTGTGAGTGTTTGACAATTTATAAAACCTGAATTTCATTTAAAATATTTTATAAAGTGAAATATAATTTAATATTGGCAGCATAAACTGGAAATTATCTGTACTGATTAAGTTGTGATCATTTGACTAGATGTTAAATTAAACCTTATATCAATCATGAATGTTTGACCTAGGGTTCAAATCTGTGCCGTCTAACTTCAAGCAAAAAATTTTTTTAACATTTGCTTTATCTGTTATATGTAATATTTTGTGTTTAGGGCATAAATACCTTCAATCTATCACTAAATTAGAAATTTATAAAAAAAACTACATACTAAAATCCAATATGGTGTGATACTTAAAGGGGATAAGTTGCACTTTCTTTCCACTTTTTATCTGCGCACTTAATTACTATATTCTAATTTTAAAACTGAGAAAAAATATCTGGAGTATAAAGTTAACAAAATAAGTATTAACTGAGAGAAAATTAAAAATTATTATCAATTATTAATAAGTTGCGATTTCATACATGTCCCAGCTAGAAGGTTTGCAATTTCTTCAACTGCAGGCATATCTTGAATAGCATTATTAATATTCTGCCGTACAACAAGGGTATTTTTCTGCCAATCCCGAGGACATATTCTTCTGCTAATAAGCCAATCTGCAAATGAAATACAAGTTTAAGACACGTGTTTGATGACAAATTAAACAGATAGGAGAAAGTCAAAACTAAATATTAAAATTAAAGTTATGACAAAAATAACAAATTATTTCAAAATAAAACTATGAACAAATTATAACTAACCAAGAAGTTTATTCAGATGTATATCTATAGGGATGTTCTGCTCATTCTGAAAAAAAAATTATAATGATCAATCAATAAATAATATACCATTAACAGTTGTCATATCTAATTTTACACATCGTACATAAAGGTAAAGTAATTTCATAAGAAAAAAGATACAGAATGACAATTTAAGAGTTTATTTGAATTCCCAGTTCATAAAACATCTTTTTAAATTGGAACACACTTTTAATAATTATTCAGAACAAAAATAAAAAAAATTCTATAATTACAATTAACATTTTAAGAAATGACAAATGAAATTTTGAAAATATTAAATTTTTTTGGATTAAAAAACGAGACTAAATTTTGCTGAAACCTCGTTTCTGGTCACAAGAGTAATTATTTTTTTTCTCCATTAAAGCTGTTTCCCAAAGGCCCTGTAGTCACATAAAATGCCTTTTTGAAAATAATATGCTATTTGCGTAACTAATGTGAATTTGCAACAGTAACTCACAGCTGAAATTCAAGTTTAGCCTATCTTTAGCCAACGCTCTCTCAATGTTTAATCTGAAAATGGAGTAAAAAGTCATTATGGAGAAAAGCCACAACTTTGATAAATAAAAAGCATTTGTGGTCAAATTTTTTAATATTTTGAAACTTACTCCAATGTTACATTATCTGGGCTCATAAAAATTTGCAAAAACTGAGAATAAATCAATGATTTTGATAATTTTCATCTAGGTGGAAAGATGTCCCCAAATTGGCGATTTTCAAAAACAAGTTGAATAACTTTGGGAGATTTCTGTATCCTGATATTCAGAAAAATTGCCTAGTCTTGGCAACTTCCGGACAGCAGCATGCGAGAAACTAAAAAAAAAACATCACAGAAAGGGACCAACTCGAAATGTATAACTCGTAGCCACCCCCGGGAAAACATCTACATGTTTTCTTAAAAAAATTTGCAAGTTTAAAATCTTTTTGGCACCTTGGAGATTGTCGTTGGGGCAATAGATCAGGATATGAAAATATCCCGAATAACTTTTAGAACATTTTAGTTATTTGTTGTTCTTAAGCCCAGATAATTATCTAAGGCAAGATTTCATATACATGTTAAAATTATAGCTTTGATCAGGTTAGGCATTTAAACTTTGGCGTTTTTATTTTCCTTGGTGAAAGAACTTCGAAAAAACTTGTTAAAGTAAATTTTACATCTTTTGTCAGTTGTTATGCGATTAGTTCTAGGTTTATTTTCATATATATTAGGGGAGTAAGCTCCAGATTTTTAAAATATAAAAATTTTTGCTTAATTGCTTTAAAATGTCATTTAGGGAAAAGGACCCATATGACACAAGTTGACTATTGAAGCAATATTTTATACTTCAACCATAAAAATATGCTTTAATTTGGTAAAACGGGTTTCACGTTTAGCTATAAGAAATGAAACATCGCAAATAAAATACCAAATGAATAAAAAAACTGAGAAGTTTAAATCATAAAAGAGGAAATTAGCTTGAAAATGAAAAATCATTTCTTTTTACCATCTTTTCAAATTTGATTTCGTTTTTATCTCGACAAATGTGAGTAAAACTACTGGAATAAATAACTTTTTTTAAATAGGTACTAAAAGTAAAAGCACATCATTTTAATGTCAGAATTCGTCTGTTCGAAGTTTAGTTTCTTAAATTTGTAGACGTTTTCATTTATTTACTAATTTTTGATTAACGGTTACCGTTAATCAAATGTATGATTGAGGAAAATTATTAAATAATATTGGTGGCAATATATATCATATATGAAAGTTAAAGTGAAAGAAAACTATTTGAAAGGTACGAAATGATGATCTTTCAGTACGGAATAAACTAGGGAATTTCATACATCAGTATTCTAACACAAAATAATGAATCAAACTGAAAAACCCCGTTCAACGGAATTTCCCAGTTCTGTTATCAAATTAAAACATGTTCCGAGAATTTGTTTATTTATTACACATTAGTTTCTGTATTAAATTTTCTGCTAAATATTTTTTTTAAAATCTTAATTTATTCCACTGGTAAGATCAAACACAGATTCGCTTGCAAAATAGAAATTAAGACTTTATTCAAAATGGAANTTTGTGAAAATTTAAAATTATATTAGAAAATCAACACAAAAATATGGAATGGATTTCTCGTTTCTTACGGAATACAAAAATAAAATTAAAAAACAACGTATTTTGTGTTTCCTAAAGTTGGTTTTGTGAAGGTTCTGCTAAGCGGTAGTAAATTTCACCTGGACAGCTTCTTAATTTATTCCACTGGTAAGATCAAACACAGATTCGCTTGCAAAATAGAAATTAAGACTTTATTCAAAATGGAAATTGTGACTTAAACTTACTTTGGAAATGGAGATTTATAAATTTCTGACAATTTATTTTACCAAGGCTAAACTCGATCTGCCGTCACACGCTGGCGCTGCTAGGGTCAGAGGCAGATCGAGTTTAGCCTTGATTTTACTGATTATTTCATAGTTATGAATTTATTTTGGGGTTATGAGTAATTTTGAGGCTCATTATTGTTTTATTAGGAATGTTTACTAGTGGATAATATATTTTGAGCATTTTATTTTAATATTGAATGTCTGCCAGTTTCTTCTTTGATTTTAAATAGTTTAAATGAACACTAAAAATTTCACTAATTATTTTCAGAAAACCACTAAACAAAAAAATAGCTGAAATATTACAGAAAACTATAATAAAAGTATTATTGAACACCCTTGAACAATAAATAGTTAACATATAATTAAGTACATTCTTCTTTAAATATAGTTTAAATTAAATTGTATTATATTTCAGTGTTGTTATCTGCCAGACCAACAACAATTGCTAAGGCTCCAAACAGATTTTAAATTTGTAATTTCAAAAAAAAAAAAAAACTTATGGAGGTTTGCCTGAAGGTGGGTTTGAGTTACAGGGCTGATTGTGCTCCGGAAAAAATCCGGACTTTTCGCTAACAGTGGTCCGGAGACCGAAGGTTCAGGCGTTTAAAAAAATCATTGATCACAGAAGTTTCTGGAAATCAAATTTTCAAAGGTAGAACTTTAAAACACTGTTTATTTTATTTGTTTGTAAGGGAGAGCCAGAGATATACTTCATAAGCTTATATTCATGATTAATATTCATTTTTTATCAGTAAATAGTTGTTATAATCATAAACTCAAGAAAGATTTCATTGATTTTGATTTGTTCATTTGCGTCGCACTAGAGCTGCACAATGGGCTATTGGGGACGGTCTGGGAAACATCCCTGAGGATGATCCGAAGACATGCCATCACAATTTTGATCCCTCAGAGGGGATTACACCCCCACTTCGGTAGCCCGACAACCTGCACGCGAAGTCTAGCATTTTATGGTAGAACAGTTTAATGAGGACCAATACCGCACACCCTCGGTCCCTACGCACCACCCGCACACTGACCGCAGCCAGTGATGCTTGACTTCGGTGATCTGCAGGGAAGCGTGTCTTTAAACTCAAGAAAGAAAGACATATTTGTAAATTTTAATTACTTCTCCAGGTCATCATCTATTATTAAATAAAATGNGGCAACTTCCGGGCAGCGGCAAGTGAGAAACTAAAAAAAACATCACAGAAAGGGACCAACTCAAAATGTATAACTCGTAGCCACCTCCGGGCAAACATCTACATGTTTTTTCAAAAACATTTGCAAGTTTAAAATCTTTTTGGCACCTTGGCGATTGTCTTTGGAGCAAGTCCAGATAATTCTCACAGGCAAGATGGCATATACATATTAAAATTATAGCTTTGATCAGGTTAGGCATTTAAACGTCAGCGTTTTTATCTTCTTTGATGAAAGAACTTTAAAAAAGCTTGTTAAAGTAAATTTTAAAATTTTTGTTAGTCGTTGTGCGATTGGTTCTGGGTTTATTTTCATCATATTAGGGGAGTAAGCTCCATATTCTTAAAAGATAAAAATTTCTGCTTAATTGTTTTAAAATGTCATTTAGGTAAAAGGACACATATATGACACAATTTGATTATTGAAGCAATATTTTTTAAGCAATATTTACCATAAAAATATGCTTTAATTTGGTAAAACGGGTTTCACGTTTAACTATATGAAATGAAACATTGCAAATTCATTATTTTAAAATACTCAGTAAAACACCAAATGAATAAAAAAACTGAAAAGTTTAAATCATAAAAGAGGAAATTAGCTTGAAAATGAAAAATCGTTTCTTTTTACCATCTTTTCAAATTTGATTTCGTTTTTCTCTTTACAATTGTGCGTAAAACTACTGGAATAAATAACTTTTTTTAAATACTAAAAGTAAAAGCTCATCATTTTAATCTCAGAATTCGTCTGTTCGAAGTTTAGTTTCTTAAATTTGTAGACGTTTTCATTTATTTACTAATTTTTGATTAACGGTTACCGTTAATCAAATTTATGATTGAGGAAATTTATTAAATATTATTGGTGGCAATATATATCATGTATGAAAGTTGAAGTGAAGAAAGCTATTTGAAAGGAACGAAATAATGATCTTTCAGTACGGAATAAACTAGGGAATTTCATACATAAGTATTCTAACACGAAACAATGAAAAAAAATCGAAAAACCCGTTCAACGGAATTTCTCAGTTCTATTATTAAACTAAAATATGTTTGGAGAATTCGTTTATTTATTACACGTTAGTTTCTGTATTAAATTTTCTGCTAAATATTATTTTTTAAATCTTAATTTATTCCACTGGTAAGATCAAACACAGATTCACTTGCAAAATAGAAATTAAGATTTTATTCAAAACGGAAATTGTGACTTAAACTTACTTTGGAAGTGGAGACTTATAAATTTCTGACAATTTATTTTACAGATTATTTAATATAGTTTTGTTAGGAATGTTTACTCTATATTTTGAACATTTTCTTTTAATATTGAATATCTGTCAGTTTCTTCTTTGATATTAAATAGTTTAAATGAACGCTAAAAATTCATTAATTATTTTCAGAAAACCACTAAACAAAAAAATAGCTAAAATATTACAGAAAACTATAATAAAAGTATTATAGAACACCCTTAAACAATAAATAGTTAACATATAATTAAGTACCTTCTTTTTTTAAATGTAGTTTAAATTAAATTGTATTATATTTCAGTGTCGTTATCTGCCGAGCCAACAATTGCTAAGACTCCAAACAGATTTTAAATTTGTAATTTCAAAAAAAAAAAACTTATGGAGGTTTGCCTGAAGGTGGCTTTGAGTTATACCCTTCGAGATAGTCAACTACGGTGAAGATGTCTTAGTCATTGCTGGCTTTTGTCCAGAAGTTGCTAATCATGATGAGGAAATCTTACCCAAAGCATACTTTTTTCCATATGTAATGCATAGTCAGGGGTCTGCCTAGGTTTTTCTGCGAGATACCTATTTTGTGAAATTTTAGATATAATTTGTGAAAATTTAAAATTATATTAGAAAATCAACACAAAAATATGGATCTCTCGTTTCTTACCGGATACAAAAACAAAATTTAAAAAAAAAACGAATTTTGTGTTTCCTATAGTTGAATTTGTGAAGGTACCGCTAAATGGTAGTAAATTTCACCTGGACAGACCCCTAATACTTTATTCATATGTGCATTTTTGTAATAGAGAAGGACTAATTAGAATACACGGGGGTATATGACAGAAATAGCAATTTTTTGGGGTAAATTTGTAGTCTTTTTTAAGCAAGTCATCATAGTTTTTAAAAATGTATTTCAAGAACTATGCTGTGGCATTGCACTTAGTACTACAGGTAACAACATGGAAATATACCTACACAATTATTTTTTGGATGTTTGTGAGTATGTTTCTTGAACTTTTATGTATTAATTAGAATGTCTCTGAATATATTTTTAAACATAGATATGCAATTGACTTGAATTTAACATATTTTTTAAAACTAAAAAAAATTATGCTTAGCTATTCGTTCAATTATTTCAACAATGTAGTTATTTTTTTTTTGTTTTTCAAAAATTATAACTGATGTAGTTAAAAAGTTCTGAACTGGTTTTATGATTATAAATAAAAGTTGTATTTCAAAAAAATTCTTTAGCTCTGAATAACTTAAAACTAGAAAGTTTTATTAATTTATTGAATCAACAAATTCTTTAATTTTAGTTTATTTATTGTTATAAGTAAGTTTGATTTTCAAGTTTTTATTTCATGTCATGATTCCATAATTAAGCTGCGCATATTTATAGAAAGTTACATATGAAAGAAAAAAAAAATGCTAGAACAAGAATGACCTTGGTCGAGCATTCTAGGGGAAATGATAGTAATTTAAATATTAAAAGTATTAGAAATATTAAGAATTTGGTGCATCTGTTATTTTGGGTACCAAATAGCCAAGCTTCCTCTTTAATGCATCAGTTGGTTATTTATTTGATCCGCTATACTTTTTATTAGATTTAATAATACCTCTCAATACTTTAAAACTTGATGACCATTACAACACCGGAATTTTCATCTGGTACCCAGGTATGGAATAAGTACCAAAAACTTAATTTATTACCTGTTTCTCCCAAGAATAATTTGAAATAACTACCTATATCTTGTATTTTTAGGTATAAATTGTTTGCTCAATGAACCTATCTGATAGCGATGGATTTAAATTTGTGTCTTATAAAAAAGGGAGGAAAGGAAGGACCTCAGTAGTAGCCTCTCATGGAAAAAGAGTTGATTCAAAGTGTAAGTAATTCTTCGTTACAAAGCAAAGTATAAGTAACTTTTCATTAAGGCGAAGTGTTAGTAATTTTTCATTACAAAGCATAAAAAGTTGAATTATAACTTCTGCTTTGTGAAAGGCAATAAAGTTACTATTAATCTTGTAAAAGCAAGCTTCACATTTAACCAACTGTACCACAGAAGGCTTCTTACAATTTTTTCTAAAGTTTTCGTTCAAATATAAAGAAAATAAGATGTTTCTCGACATATACTTACATGCTACATTTAGTTAAGATATTTTCTTAAATTTTTTTAATGGCATTACTAAAATGTTCACTAAATAAATTGCATAAAATAAATGCATACTTAAAAATGATTTTTTCTTTTCTTCTTTTAATAATTTATACAGTAGAGTGCAGATTATCCGAACTGCTCGGGACCGAACATGGTTCGGATAATTGGAAAACTGTTTAAAATCTAGTGTACATGATTATTATTTATGCACTAACTTCCCTTTGCACCTTTTGTTGGCTTAGGACTGGTAGTACTATCTAAAATAGCTTTGGTGTGTTTAAAAGTTTTTTTTTCTTCAATTTTTAATTAACTTTTTTTAAAACTTTTTTTCATTTTGAATTATTTTTATCATATTTCAGTTTTTTATAATTTTTTTTGTCAATTACCACATTTTTCATTATTTTCCATTGCAAAAAAAATCCAGCAAAGATTTCGTTTCAAAGAAGAGGCGTTTTTTTTTAGCAGCCATATATCCCTTATTCTTTTTAAATAAATCAACTGAACTGGATCAACATCATTTTGACGTTCTAGCCAATTCATTGCAATATCTCATGAAGTGCATGCTTCTATATGAGAAGGTCCCCTATCTTGAACTTGATCACTTACTTCTTCCTCTTCGTCTGTGGAGTTCCAATTTTCATTCAAAATTTCAGCAACAATTTCATCATTTTCATCCGAAAGATCTACTGGTTCAGAAGCTTCAGTTTTTCTGTTAAGAATTTTATTCCAAGCACTGTAATCACTAATCATTAAACATAAGTGACAACTACGCATTTCCCAATTATAAAACTTCAGCACTTATCTATTCATAAACTCCTTCTGCATTCCAACCATTGTAGACTATCAAAATGAAGCTCGCATTCTTGAAAGATAATTTTCAGTTGTAAAGGGGTAGGTAGGTTTAACTGTATCACCATACATGTATGTATGGCTGCTATAAGAAAACTGCTAAAAAAGTTGTAAATTAAATAAGGTCTTCGGATGTAGGGGATATTATTTATTCTTCTTAATTTAGAAAAATTGTCAAGAGGTTAAAAAGTATTCTAAACTTGAAAAAAAAAAGAAAAAAAAAACGAATTCAGACATAGTTCGGATAGTTGGACGTTCGGATAATAAGGGTTCGGATAATCGGCGCTCTACTGTATATAGAATTTAAACAATTGTTATCTATTTAAAATATGCTAATGTGCTTTGCTAAATAACAGATACATAATTGATTGATTAAAGTAACATAAATTTTTAAACTGTGCAATTGTTAGGAACGCTTTAGTAAGTATAATATTGTGTAGAGTTTTTTCAACATGTTTTAGTAAAAACAGCATTTTCCAAATCAATTTATAAATATGTCCATTAATTTATGTATAAATATACCCTTGGACAAACACTATTTTGTGTTGAACATTTTTAACCATAAAAATATTAAAAAAGCAAAAAGTAATTATATAAACTTTTATTAGTAATAGAGTTGGGCAAATGATTCAAATAAAATAAATTAATTGAAAAATAATATTGGATAAATAATTGGACGATTAATTTTTATACTTAATAGGTATAACTGATTTTAATTATGAATCAAAGAATCTTCAAATAAACACTTAACAAATTTGAATTAGCAGCATTAAGATGATTAATCAGACCATTTATTTAACTCGTATTTTGTATGCAAATCAATAAATTCAAGTGATTAATCATAGATATAAGATAATACGAAATAATAAACTAGTAGAACATAATATTAAATACTCTGATTTAGTAACTTTTTTTTTTCTGTTTAGGTATGTCCTCTAACTTGGAATCTTCTAGGCATTTTATCAAACTAGATCAAGAAAGAATCACAAGTCTTCAATTTGATCTAGAGAAATCTGAGTTTTTTAATGATCTTAAAAAATCATTGAGCAGTATTTTTACGAAGCAGACATTAAAAACAAAAGGAAGTGATCTCTCTGAAAGCATCAGTGCTATATCATTATCTGAAGCTGGAAAGGAACCTACTGATATCGTTTGCTATGGACTTGGTGCCTTCTCATCTTGCATGATAGCTCGGTATCAACTCGCTTTCTTGCTAGCTTTAAAAAGTTATCTTGAAATAAAAGCAGTAAGCCTTTACGATCCAATATTTAGTTGTGATGAGAAAGATTGCTTGATAAAACTAGGACTTGACGTTTTGAGCGTGAATGAGAAAGCTAAAAGATCTGTTAGTCAAAGAACTATTTTTTTCATGCCACATTGTGATTTACCATTGTATAACAATTTATTGTGGTCTAATTGGAATGTAAAACAAATGGTTAACATCATAATTATTGGGAACAGTTTTTCTAATTACAAGCGCTTACCTAATGCTCAGTTGGAAAAAAGAGGTGGTTATATTAACCGAGCTAATGAATTTGTCACCGAATTGAAGATGTCTAATAATTATGTATTTAAAGATGTATTCAATGACATGTCTATTCATTATTTTAAAGAGGAATCATTGTCTAAAGTGCCTGCTAAAACATGGCTAGATGTTTCTGAACCTGTTTATGAATTAGATGATTTAATAAATTACTCCTAGTACTATATGTTAGTTTTTATTATTTTGGGAAAACTATAAAGTAAGTATTTTATTTACGACGCACTAGAGCTCCACAATGGGTTATTGGTGACAGTCTGGGGAAAATCCTTGAGAATGAATCCGAAGACATCCCACTGCAATTTTGATCCTCTGCAGAGGGGATGGCTCCCCTGCCTTGGTAACCCAACAACCTGCACTCAAAGTCGAGCACTTTACGGTAGAACAGTTTAACGAGAACCGATATTCCGCACCCTTGCTCCCTATGCAGGCCGATCAAAGTGGTCACCCACCCGCTTACTGACCGCAGCTAGTGATGCCTGACTTCGGTGTTCTACTGGGAACCGTTCTACTGCGGGACGGGAAAACTATCAAATAATTTTATAAGAATATGATAAACTAAGAAAAAAAATAGCTTTGAGAATTTTAATTGAATTACATAAAATATTTTTTTTTCTAAATAGTAAATTGTAATAGTTTTTTCCCCTTCAGGATGCTAGTTATAGCACTATAAGAAGTAGGTGCTGAAAATAACATTTTGAAACTGTCATTACAGCTTTCAGAAACACTGCAAATTTGCACAGATGGAAGTCACATTTCTGAAAGATTTAACCATGTTTCATAATCTGTTGAAAGTCACAAGTAAAAGCTTTCACTTTTTGATGGGAGATGATATTGCAGAATAAGAAAATATTCTTAAAACCATGGCCAGGGCTGTGACATTTGAGTTGAAGAAAATTTTGCAGGAACCAGAATGGAAAAAAATGTGCTCGATTCCAGTTAGTTATAAATTGTTCGCTCTAAAGGTTAAAAAGGGATTTTGATCTTATGAAAATTATTTAGACAAATACTTATGTGAACAAAAATATTATTCAAATATATATTATGACAGTTATTTAAATTATATCTTATATTTGAATGTTTCTGAGCGCATAATTAATTTGATTGATTTATTATAATAAATTATTAATAAGTCATTTTTTGATTCATGAATTCCAAAATCAAATTTGTTTAGCTAAGAGGAAATTTCGATTGAATAGACCTTTTTTTTTCAATGTCCACCCGATTGCCATTTAGGTATTAGTAGGGAGATTTGTTGGCCACTCTTTGAGGGGCACCATTTTAGGTGGGCCAACAACAGATAGTACAAAGAATAAAAGAACATCTATGCCTTGTCTGGGATTGGAACCCACAAACCTTTCCGATGTAAGGATGTTGGAAAATATTAGAATAAAAATGAGAAGATTGTTCTAAAAGCATTTTAATTCAACACAAAATCGTTTGTTTGTAAAAAAATAGATGGGATTAAACTTAAACTTTTTTGGCTGGGTTAGAACATCTTCGGGCAGGCTCCAAGTCAGAGAACTGACCTGTTGCTAAAGCAATTTTGCATAATTTAATTGTTCTATACAAATATGTTTATTAAAATTTATTTCTTCAATTGTAAAAATTCTCAACAAGGTCGATTCCAGCTCTCAGAAGAGGAGTAGACTATCAACAATTAATATTTCAACTATCATAGCCATAATATTTCAAACATCACAGCTCTGCCTAAAGCAATTTTCAGTATTTTAATTGATGCATAATTATTCAACAAAGATCATTCAAGGTTGGAATATCCGCTTTCTTATGCATCCTAGCCATAGTATTAGTCCTAGAATTTAATTCTAGCCGTAGTATTATAACATGCATTAATTGGGTACTTACAACTTGAAAAGGAGAATATCACTGAAATCACATGGTTGTGCATGGCATGTTAACATTACAGTTATTAGACTTGGATTATTATCATGCTAAGTCAATTTTCATATTAAATACGTGTACCTGCAAGAGATGTCATGCATGTGTTCTGAACCTGATTGGCTGCTAAATCGTGGCATAAACAAATGCCACGATTTACCCAAATGTAGTGTTGTTTGCAAAAACTCTATTGGTCAAAGTTCCATGACCTAAACATAAAAGTTTTTTTTAATGCAATGCAAATGTAGATAAGTCTCACCCAACAAAGACAAGTTGGCTCATGAACTCCTTACGTTTCAAATCTAGTTTAAAATTACAAGGAGGCCAGTTTAGTGGTTTTCAACATACAATGATTTTGTTACCCTTTATCATATAGAATAAATTCAAAAAAGATAATGCAAATCTCCATATAAGCATCATGATAATTGTATCTGATGTAGGCCTTCTTAAGCTTTAATAACATCTTGAGTGTTGGCAACACTTTTGCTCTGATTATAAGCCATTGAAAGTCTGACTCGTTCTTCATATTTGAAAAATTAGTTCTTTTCAAAAGCTGGTTTACTGGCCCTGAAAAAGTACTAAATACTTGATGAGTATAATACTAAAATTTTTTTAAACAGGCATTAACTTATGAGTTAAATTTTATATTTGAAACAATTTTAATTATATACTCAGTTTAGAGCAATGAAATAGAGACTTTTAATGTATTGAATTTTTAGTGATTCTTGTTTATTTTCACTATAAAAGATGCTTTAAGCAAACTAAACTACTGAGCATTGCATAGAAATAAACATTTCTTGTTTAAAAATATGTTTCACTTTAAAAATTCAAATTGAGTGAAGAATTATATTAAGGTCAGAAAGAGATAGGTTTTAACTTAAAATTTAAATAATTGAAACTTAATGATTCTTGTTACTTTATTTTCAATATAAAAGATGTTTTAAGCGAACTAAACTGCTGAACATTTCATAGAAAAGAACATTACTTGTTTCAAAATATGTGTCATTTTAAAAATTCAATTTGAGTGAAGAATTATGTTCTGGCCAGAAAGAGAAGTTAACTTTAAACTTAAATAAACATGGGCATTCATGACATTTAAAAAATGACTGGAACGAACAGAGCTACAATTTTTCGTAGGTAAAAAAGTTTAAAAAATAGCAAAGGGTCTGAAAGACTTCATTTTGTCAGCAAATGATAAAAGAATATCATGCTTAGATCGAAAAAATAATCATTGTAATTCTGATCAATTAGCTTAAGTGTCTTCCCACATTTTCACTATTCCCACATTAACACTTTATCCTGATGGCTCTTTTTTACAAAAGAAAGCTAGTACAACAACAATGTAGTACAGCTAGTATAACACTGCAGTATAATATAACAGTGCACAGTAAGAAGTTTTGCAAGACTTTTATTAAAGAAATACATTTTAACAAAAACAGCTACATATAACCAGCAGTATAAGAATACATTAAGTAGATATGATAAACCTAATGCTACAAAAGCTATCACAATATACATATTCAAATCAGTTAAAACATTTAACACAAACCATAGATGTTAAGCCTATTTTACAAAATATTAAACATATTTGTGACAGGAATCTCAAAAGAAAGCTCGAAGATAAACAGTCAAAATTAAGTGAAGTTAAAGTGATATTTCGTTATAAATTTATACACATTTCTTTAAAAAAAAATTATGACACATATTTAAGAAATATCTTATGAAGTACAGTTTTACTCAGTACTTCGTGTACTATACTTCCTATTTTCTGCTGAATTGAGTGTGCAGTCCTATATACATACAAGTTAAAAGTGTAAAGATTAAATAAATGACATTTAAAAGGTTACATGGGTTTTGAATATTTAAAACATATATTTAAAAAGCTATTCTTATTTTATAGTACAATATGTCAAGAATGTTTTTTTAATTATTAAGTGAATTCATATAAAACTCAAACAGAGATAAAATAGATTCTTTAGAAATTCTCCAAGAAGTTCCACTTGGTAGAAGGGAAAATTGAAAAAGAAATTTTTTCCAAACTCCATTTTCGAAGTCAGTGAACTAGTCATTACTCAAAAACTAATGATTAGATCTTATTGAAATTTTGCACTTTTTTTTCTAGATACAATTGACTAATGATTAGAAAAGGGATTTTTTGACATAATTTATTTTAAAAAGCATTGTATGGTTTAAAATCTTAAATTCTAGACCATGCTTTATACAGTTATGCTTTGAGAAAAAAAAACATCCATCTAGAATCCAGATAATACAAAAACAGATAAAAAAAATATTTACCCTACATTTTACTTATATCATTATTTTTCTTTTTTACACTCAACGTTTTTAAAATTAAATTCTTTTTTAATATTCTTCATTCAATCACAATTTAATTTTATGTAGATAAAAAGTGTAAAATTAAAATAAGATTTAAAAGTTCTTAGTAAAATCATGTACAGTGCGGGGGAAAAAATCGGACCACTCTGAATAACTTTTGATCTAATGATCGGATCTTTATGTCTAGGATTCAATCTTAATGGTTTGAGAGGTTCATCTCAAATATGCTAATTAATTAGTGCAGACGATATTTTAAATTACGAAATCTTACGACACAAAAATGTACTTACTCTGAATATGCAAGCCTTTTTTTCAATAGTTTCGGATTTGGAAAATATGGTCCCCACAGTTTGGTCAGAAGAGCGATCCAAAATTTGAACCCCTCAATGTTCATTTTTATTTGTTGTTTGCACATTTCGCCGTATCTCGAGAACTTTTTAAGCAAATTGAAGAAAAAAAATTTGCATTCATTTAAAAAATTCGTTTGTCTAAAAATAATTTCCTGCAAAAAATAAATTTAGTAAATATTTTAATCGAAATTTTTTTTTAAGGAATGCATATTTTCATATAATTTTAAAGTACGTAATTTTACGTGGCAAAATACACAACTTAAGCAAAATAGGTCGAATAGTTCCCGAGAAATCGAATTTTTTAAAAAAGTCGTATTGTTAAAATTTGGTTTTTCAAAAACTAGTCAACCGATTTCTCTCAAATTTTGTATTTTGCAATGTAAAATTACATACTTAAAAATTATGTAAAAAACTAGATTACAATTCAAAATTATTTCGAAGACTATTATTAAATAAAATAATAAATATTTACTAAAATTTAATTTTTCTACGGAATTATCTTTGGACAAACGAATTTTATAATTGTGTGCAAAAGTTTTTTAATTCGGTTAAATTTTTCGACATACGGCGAAATAGCAAAAAGTAA